CTGCAAACACACAGTCCTAAGAGATGGCTCAGAAAGACACTGATCCTTGTGCACAAGTGCAGGATGAGGGGATAATGGACACGGATGTTTTGTTCAAACAGACAGGAGGCTAAGGGGGTAGAACACATGAAACACAACACGCATCTTGTTTGTGTCAATGTATGAGAGGAGAAGTCACAGGAGGGGCATGTTGATGCTGGCTGAGAGGCAGCCTTCTGACTGCTGACTGAGTTGGTACTGTTATTAGGTTGGCACAAGTCTCACTGTACCTGTGCTCAAGGAGCTGGGACACTAGCACCCTGCTTCTTTCACAATAAACCTGGCTGAGGGTCTTAGACTCTGAATGGAACCTGGGCCTTTCTTAGCGACAACCCTGTGGAGTGCTGCATGGGCAAGCCACACGCTCTGCCAGTGCCGCTGGCATCACAGCTCCAGAAAGGGGTGCCCTGAACAGCTGTAAAGAGTCTCTGTGGTGCTAGCAGCAATTCATATGGAACTACATTTGCTACGGGAAGCAAAATTATCAATCACAGCAGCACCTGAGAATTCTGGTGTAAATAAGAACCACACTGTGCTACCAGGGTGCTCATATGGACCTCTTTAGTATAAGTATCCTTCCCAGCCCTGAGAAACAAGGACACACTATAATAGCTATTGCAGAGAGAGGTGACCTCACAGAGAGAGTCTAAGTGACTTGATCAAGGTCACACAGGAAGTCTGTGACGGGCAGAGAACTGAACACAGATCTCCTAAGCATGAAGCCAGACAATCAAAGAGGAAGAAAAAGTCCCTACCCGAAGATATTTCACTCTAAAAAGACAAGACAGATGACGTGATTATTTCCACTGCACACAGAGGCCAGTGAGTCCCAGAGAGAATGAAGCTGAACTTTTAAAAGGAAACCCAGCCTGTGTCTAAAATGCAAGGAGAGCTCTGCTTACATTTCTCTACTACAGAGCCACCCCTGAGAAAATGCTCGCAGAGCGTGAACTGCCTCATCCATCGTCCCTCAGCTCCAGCTCCTCACACTGGCAGAAAACAGCATATCAGAGATTAGCCACAGAAAGGGAAGGGCTCTGGGAACTGTACCCTCCTTCCCGAGGCTCAGCCCATTGCCATAAGGGGATCCTGAGGGCACTAACAGCAGCCAGACCTAGACCCACAACTCTGGTACCTGCCATTCCTGCCTGAGCCCTTCCATTCACACCTCCGGTCAAGGCACAACATGGGCAAGATGGTGGAAAGCACATGAAGACCTTGGCTGTGGGAAGAGCCGCACTATTGTTATGTCCCTGAACCTGCTTCTCCTGGGAGCGGGTATGGAGGGGACAGTCTCTCACACAGAAGCCAGGATTATTGGGGCAGATTATGGGGTCAGGGGCAATGAGGGTCCCTAAACCAAACCAAACCAAACCCAGCTGCTCCAGAGCCCACCCAGCTTCTGATACGTGAGGGGACAGGAATCTTTACCCAGCCAGCTCACAGCCTCGTAATTCTCCTGCATCACATCGCAGTAGAGGGCTCTCTGGCCCGAGTCCAGCAGAGTCGATTCCTCCTCAGAGAAATACACAGCCACATCCTCGAAGGTCACTGGTTCAGCCACAGCCATTTCCCGTTCCTGGCTCTGCAGGGCAGGGGCTGAACTGGGGGAAGACATGGGTGTTCTGCAGCCCGTCAGGAGAAGAACCTCATTGGAATGTATTGTAACAACAGATGTAGCACACAGGAAAACTAGCACTGAAAAACGTGAGAAGTACAAATATACGAGCAAATTGAAAAATATCCGTATATACAATAAAGTAAGAGAAAAGTAAGGTGGGTACTTCAGTGGCTGCAGGATGGGGAATAACTTTCAGAAACAGAGATCTTGGTAATAAGTTTGCAAGTACAAAATTATTTTCTAAAGTATCTCGGAGCTTTCACATTTAAACCCTGGCCGGTAGTGAACATTGAGGAAGCAAAATCTACCTAAGTGGCCGGTGAGATGAGAAAGCACCAGGTTGAGGGTGACAATACTTCCCTATGTTGGATACTGGACACAGGGTAAAATGACTCGTATTCAAGTGAGCTCAGCGGCAATCCATCAGAACTGAGCTGCACAAAAGTTCAAATTGACATCAAATCCCTGTTAAGCATAATGACTGTGTAGCTGGAGCCTTCTTATCACTAAGGCTTTAGGTCACATGATTGGGTGTCTGGCAAAGCTGACATGGGTTGTTAAATATTGGTTAATAGAACAGTCAAATAACCTCAAGAATTCTTATCTCATTCAACTATTCTATAGCCCCTCGGGGTGCGGCCAGCAGCCAATGTGTTCCAGCTTGACTCTTGAGGAGGCCCCCATGACTCCACACTGCTGCTATATATGAGAAGCAGTAGTGCAGTGATTGGGTGTCTGGCAAAGCTGACATGGGTTGTTAAATATTGGTTAATAGAACAGTCAAATAACCTCAAGAATTCTTATCTCATTCAACTATTCTATAGCCCCTCGGGGTGCGGCCAGCAGCCAATGTGTTCCAGCTTGACTCTTGAGGAGGCCCCCATGACTCCACACTGCTGCTATATATGAGAAGCAGTAGTGCAGAGTGCCAGGCAAGACCTGATCTGAGAGAGGAGCCCATTTAAAAAGCAGCTCTTCTCGTGGACCAGCTGCCTGTCGCCCTGTTCTGCTACCTCTGAAAGTAGCACAGGGTGACAGCAGCCTCTGAGCTCTCGGATCTATCTCCTAAAACACTTTAAATGCAGACATACAGCATGGGGAAGTCTCAGATCCACTTTAAGCCAGGACTGGCCAGCCTGCTAAAAAATTTACTGGCATATGTTGTCTATAGCATTAACCTATAAGCTTTTCTTTAATTGGTTAACTGACTAGACCACTGGTTCCCAAACTTTTTGGCATCAAGCCCCCTTTTTGATTTTTGAAAGCAAAATTTGATGGGGGAGAGCTGCCTCGCACTCCCCCTGGAATTTCTTCACACCCACTCCTCCAGGTTGGGAACCCATGGACTAGACTATTACAACTCTAAAACTGAACCTGGTGCTCTCCTCTGAACCCAGTCTGGCAGACACTCCCTGGGGCAGCCAGTCGCACCTGCTCTCTATTTGTGGGTGGGCAGCTGGGGAGCAGGGATCTGGCAGCAGCAGGACTCACCAGCTCTGATGGGGGGAGGGAGACAGAAAATATGGAACAAGAACAAACCAGAACCTTGCACCAGGCCTTTAACCCAGGACATCTTCTCACTAACTAGAGTGCTGGGCAGGAGGCAAAACAACAGCTCTCACAGTCAACCCCCAGCTGCTGAATCTCACCCCCTTGGGCAGCATCCACCTGTCAAGTAGGAAAGGGGCATCTTCTCCAGGCATTAGCCACCCACACAGAGCTGGGAAGTGGGTGCTGTCCCTTCTCCTGTATTTTTACAAACACTGCAAATGCACTCCCCTACCCCACCCTTGGGTATTTTTTCCTGGGAAGGCCTGGATCTTATTCTTAATCCTGCCGCCTGTCCCAATTTTACTCTTTGGCTCCTCTCTTGGCTGTGCAGCCAGTTGAAGGATTTCTTCCCCCACACCATCAGCGTGGCCCCCGCACAGACTTTGCCTCTCCTGCAAACCCCCCCGCCCTCCGAAACATAAGTGTGTGTGTGCGG